ACCCTAAAAACAGGAAGGATATGAGCACGGTACAACCAGAGATCACTCAATAAAAAGTAGTAGTCGTTAAGGTCGCTATTAACCTTTAAGTATCCGGCATCTGGTACTATGACGCCAGCTTCTCCTTGGATCGGTTCCACCATAAAACCGGCTGTGTTCGGATCTGATATGGCTTTCTAAAATTATTGCATTTATTTTTTACAAAGTCATTATCGGAACAGTTATGCTTTCCCAAACCCATCGCGTGCTCAAAGCAAAGCGGTAGATTAGGAAACTGACTGGTTGTTTTTTCGTGTTTAGGTAAACAGCAGTAGCAATCAAAGAGTTGGGGTTAGGTATTCCTCATATCAAATCTTCTCAAAAAACTTTGCCCACTTACTTCGAGCGCTTTCAAATCATTGTAGGGAATTCGTTCGAAGAGTGGTACAAAAGGTCCAAAGCCGCCGTAGGAATCCGGGTCGCTTGATGCCGAAATGGCAGCAATTGATCGGCCCCAAAAGTTGTTCTCTGCGAAAACCATCTGAAACACTGGTAATAATTTTCAATGCAACCACTATTAGGGACGATGCCGTTTTGAAAAGCTGCTCCCCCAACAGCGCATAGAGAGGACAATCCCCCGCTACGGGTGTTGAGCTAGCCCGGTGAAAGTATGTCTTTGTGAACGGATGGCTTTAAAAGGTGGCAATTTTGCACTTTTCTGTTCTCCGTGGACAGATTATATCTAGAGAAAGCAGAAACCAGCTGCTGTACATGAGGAAACAGCGCAGTTCGGCGAGGGGGGGGGGCATTTCGCACTTTTGCTACTTCCCATCGACGTGTCGACCTATCTAGACAGCCTCGAGTTGACAGGTTTTACCATGATGGCTTGACGAGCTTGCTCCAGCTTCACAAGAGTTCACAGGTTTCACCAGTGAGACTTGTAAACCGGAACTAGTGAAGCAACGAAAGTACAAAATGCCCCACCCCCGTCGCGGAACTGTGCCTTAGGAAACTAAACTATGGCAGCAAACAGGCATCTGGAAATCACCTGTCCTCACGATCAGATTCCTACCCCAGTGTTTTTGACCGGCCATCCCACGTTAATAGCGTGTTATGCTTCTTCGCGTACGGTGCAACCGTATTCTAAAGAGCTTGGCGAGCTGCCGCCTAGCGTCAGCGGGAATCTAATGAGTGGACCACCAGCAGATTTGTGAAGAACGGTCACAGCGCGGTACACAGCGCGCTGACGCATCGAGAGAATCCGTTTTGTAAGCGGGAAAACTCGCTACGTCTTTCGCCTTATTCTCAGGAACCTTCTTCACATCGTAGGCCCAACGTCGAGCAAGTTTCACTGCCGATTCGGCTGCTTCCACGCCTGACAGAAGTTTATGAAGACTAAGAAACTTTAATCTCCGAAGCATAGTAGCTTTCAGTTTTTTACTTCGGCGAATGAGATAAGGGAAAACATACATCCTAGGCCTGCCTGATACAATAGGTACAACGCACCAAATCATGCACGTGAGAAGATGAGAGATGAAGAGACAACTGGAGCAGACATAGCACTGTCTGCGCTTCATTTTAGTCTTTTCTGACCTTACCTGGTTCGTTAAATTCAAATGTCAACAAGAAGAGGCTCGGCATGGAGTCTCGCCTCTGCTTGAAGGAGCATTAAGACTTCGCGATGGCGCACGTCGCAGCGCTGTGACGCGCGACGACGCGCTACAATTGCAGCAGCGCTCCAGTTCTCTATACGCGAACGCAGCCGCGTACCGGACTCGACGCTGCCCTAGCGCCGAGTACCGATCGATACCACATTGCGCGATAGAGCAACGTTCTCCCATTCTTTCTTAATTCAGAAGAGGCCGGCGCCGATCAATTCCCGTTATTGAAGCGTTTGCGTCTGTAGGATCGGAGGCTGCTCAAATTGTAGTGCATTACAGCGCCTCGACGCGCGTCATCGCGAAGTCTGAAAGCTGAGGAATTCACATTAGTTCCGCTGCTCTTACAACAAACGATGCAACCTCGAGTTCCGCATACCGTTTTCCGACTTTTTACATCGTTATTCCCCTAGTCACAAATGAGCTAAGCGGGAAAGGTGTACAATAGTGCGCCCGACTCGGAAGCAAAACGACCCATTTCTGACCTCATTTTTTCATCCTTAATTGTTGATGAACGATTTTTTCCTTCTTATCGTTTGCTCCCCGGCCGAATACAAACGCAGAAACTCATCTACAAACGCTGAGGTTACACAGGCACAGCGATTTCATGACTCGAAGGCCTTTGCTAAGGGATCTCGGGGCGGGCAAAAGGGAACACTTCCCAAAATCGCGGAATACGCCATCGTGCACCGTGGATGCCTTTTCTTCAGAAGTTTGAGCGATGAACAAGGCGAATGGCAGCACGCGTGGTGACCCACACCGCAACTCAGATTCCTAATGTATCTTTCGATAATTTTTTCACCAGACGAACCACCTATCACGTGCACTTCCATAATCAAATCCCACCTCCATATTACAATTGAATGCATTTCTGAGAAATTTTTAACAGGGTTAATGACTGGGCATAAGTATCTCACCGGTATTCATTGGTAGAGCTTTGTCATATTTGAACTTCTTCGTAATAAATTCCTCATATTCTCCAAGCACGTTGTTATAGAATGCTCGTGACGTCAATGAAAGTATCTGCATCTGTTTCACTGCAGCCTAAAATGAACCGCACCAATTCCGTTCCACACAACTATGAAAAAAGGCACTTTGAGACGGAACTGGTTATTTGTCTATCAGGATAAATATGTGCCACTCGAATAACAGAATTTTAGATTCAATTTTTCGTTGGTCCTACCGCCACTATCCGAGGATGACAGTGACCCTGGTTGACGGCCGAGTAACCAGCAAGACAGTCGTAGTACCTCTTACCAGCCACATCCCATACGAAAACACCTAGAAATAGCTTACGATTATTAAATATTTGTACTGAACAAGCACAATGAAAAGAGTGAGGATAAGCCAAAGCAGCGTCATTTTTTGATCTGCTTCCCCCCTTCCCCCACACTCATCCCTTTGGCACTAACACTGGCGCAACTGAAAGTAAAACCTTTGGTATAATTCCTCACCTTACCTTCTCTTGAAGGCAATTCCCGCGACCACAGTTCATAGGTAATACACTTCAAAAATAGAATCGCTGTGTGTTT